TGAGTGAGTGAGTGAGTGTGTGTGTGTGTGTGTGTGTGTGTGTGTGCTGGTTTAGGAAAATCTGGATGCAGGTGTTTCCTCCTGGTAACACACACACACACACGTAATTTTACCACAGTAATCATAATTTCCTCTGTAGTTATTGTCACTGAACAATAGTAAATGGATTTATATAGAGACGCAAAATTTACCACAGTTTTACTGCAGTACGTGATTTTTTGGCCATACAAAAAATAGGTTTTTATTCTTACATAGACTATATTAAAAATAATTTCATAAAAATTTTTTTTAAAAATTCATAAAAAATAATAAAGAACATTTGAATTCCTTTTTGCAAAAACGTAGTTATAATTCGATGTCGGTGTGAACATCTCCGTCATCCGTGATGTAAGAGAATGTAAATATAAGCCCTCCGTCATCACGGATTCATCTGAAACGTGAAATCACGAGCGCTTACAGAGAACCGTCATTATTTCCCAGCAGCACGTGACAGCGCGGGGGTCTACCGGACACTCGCAGGTTACCGTCAGCAGCGCGTGACCGGCGACAGCAGTGCGCGTGCGGGGATATTCGGTTCCGTTCCTCAGCCTCAGCGAACCGAACCGAACACACCCGGTAACCGACCGATCCAGCGCGATGAGCGGCGGCGTGTACGGCGGAGGTAAGAGCAGCGGCCGCACATCACCATGACAACCGCATCCGCCAGCATCCCGCGCATCACTGCAGGCATGAACACAGAAGACCCATGCTTTACCATGCTTTACCATGTTTTACCATGCGAGATCTGTACTGCACACACCTGCGGGGAGTCTCGCCCTCCATATCAACACCAGTCCAGTTTGAATTCTTTGCCACACTTATTTTAGACTAAAGATCTCACGTGTCATTTAGAAGTGTTATTGTGTGAATACAGTGCCCTCCACTAATATAAGATGTTATGAATCTGTCTGGAAGAGGACGTGTGTCTATATCGTCCTAACGCACTGAGGACGAGAGTTTGAGCGGCTAAAGACTCTCTGAGGATCACAGAGATGAGTTCAGTCTCAGGGTCAGAAAGCATAAAACATATACATACATCATGTTGTTCAGGAGGGTTTCAGGAGCAATCCTCTTCACTCATCCAGAAACAATCTCCAGCATATCCAGCTGTCAGACGCGACTGGAGCTTCAACGGGACGGGCTTCTCTGCTCAGATGAAACTAAAAAAAGAGCTTTTTGGCAGCAAACCACCAGATGTGTTTAGTACAAACCGGGATAAAAAGCAGCCCATGCTCACGGTTAAATACACCGCTGGATCTTTAATGTTGTGTGTCTGTTTTTCTGCCGGAGGTCCTGGACGTCTTGTTCAGATGGATTCTATCAAATACCAACAGATACAAATCTAAACCTGCCTGCCTCTGTTAGAAAGCTTATAATGGACCGTGTTTGGATCTTCCATCCAAAACAAACATCAAAATCCACACAGAAATGTGTCACCGAGCACAAAGTGAAGCTTCTGTCTCTGAGCTGAACCCTGTAGAGAATGAGTGAGGAGAGCTGAAGAGAAGAAGCTGTGAATCTGGAGAGATCTGGATGAAGGAATGCTCTCTGATCTCTCGTCAGGTGTTCTCCAAACTCTTCGGGCATTACAGGAGAAGACTCAGAGCTGTTCTCTTGGGGAAAGGACCTTGCAATAATTGTGGCCAACATCAACTAGAGAAAGCATTTATTTCACAATGAGATTTCCCCCCCACTCTCAATTGTTTGACTTCAATGATAGGTCAGAATTTATTTTCACAGCCTTTGCTCATGTTTACCAAGCGTGCCGATATCAGCGGAGGGCACTGTATCAGTTTCCTCTCTAGTCTACATGAGGGCCATACGACCAAAATCTGTCATTTAATCACGTGACACATCAGCTGATAGTAATTTGGTTTTTCATGATTAATATGAGCACATACTTCATCTGCCGTTACGTATATCAACATTTCACACATTCATAAACTCACAGAAAGCCACAGACACTGACAGCAGATCTTTCTCTCATCTGCACATGTAAACGATCCAATCAGCATTCATCATGTGACTAGAAGACGTTCACTGATTACAGTTTCACTTTATGGATTTATGTAAAGCTACTTTCAAACAATGTGTGTGTGTGTGTGTGAACAGAGATTTACTAATAAACTGAGTGGACATTAATATTGATCAGACTGGTATAATAATCATAATCTCTCTGTGTCTCAGATGAAGTGGGTGCTTTGGTGTTTGACATCGGCTCCTTCTCCACCAGAGCAGGATATGCAGGAGAGGACTGTCCAAAGGTAACCACCCATCCATCCATCCACCCATCCATCATCCATCCATCCATCATCCATCCATCCATCCACCCATCCATCATCCACCCATCTATCCATCCATCATCCATCCATCCATCCATCAT